GATGACTGTTGAGGTTAATTTTATGTTTACTACTGATCAAAAATTGTTCATGAGGTTAGTGAAAGCCTCAATGCTATAGAGAAATTTCTATATTGTGTCTGTGTGGTTGTAACTCTCATTTAACAACTGGAATCTTGTTTAAGTTATTTGCTTTAAAACTATTAAGTACCATGAGTACAACATCATCATCACCAATGAGAAAGATAATATAATGTGCAATATGACTATTTTAAATAGCCTCAACAACATTTTTGTAAAACACCGTAATGCTCTCAGACTACAGAATCAACGACTTCAATACAAATGGGGAAAAAGCATGACACTTTATTAGGTACACTCCACACATACACTCATTGATTGCACGTTCAAACAGTTGCAAAAAGAAAAAAAACACCTTTTACAGACACACAACTCAGCTGCGATGCTGCCAACTGGAATGCCTGTGTATAATTTTTTTCTGCTGACAACTTTATTTATTTATTGATGTTTAGCATGCAATCATGGTTGGCACAAAACTCCATCATGTAAATTATACAGTCAATATACGATATTCTCTGCCAACTCAAGAGACCTGGGTCTTTGCCATTCATGTTACCCAATTCTAAAGTTGATAGGAGAGGTAGCAAACACTATGTGCATTGAATACTAATGAGATAAGACAGTGGAAAAAAGTTGTTGAAGTTGTCAATACTGTGTTCTTGCCCACTGACTAAAGGTGAACATTTCAGATCTGTATCTGACTTTTGGAACAGTTATTTCTTGTGAAGATGGATATTTTCCTTGACTTGATGTGTAAATATCTGAAAAAAATATTCCTCTCATGATTTTTCCACCCCCATTTTTCATTCGGTTGGGAGGGCATAACAGTTAAGTTAATAATTAGAATATGATTAAAAACAGAATTCTTTTGCTATGATTTCTAAGCTGTAGAAAAAGCTTTCAAAGCTTAGAGATGTTTTGACCCATTCTCAGTCTTTGTTCTAATTGATATGAATTGTTTGCCAAAAAACCTCTTTGCACTGCTTTATAAGTGAATTCATGAAAACAAAATAGTCTCAATTGTTTTAGTTGGTTAACATTTCCAGAAATACATACGAATTTAAAGGAAAAAATAATATGTTGACAAAAATATTTTTGTGCCATGCTGTGGAGAAAATTAAATGGGGAGACATTGCATCTTATTGTTATAACTACACAAAACCTTTTCTGTCTCGGGTGTTTTCTGTTAACTCTTTCCTTTGTTGAGGTTCAATGCAGTGCTTGGTATGTCTCCGCTGAGATACAGCAGGATGCAGAGAGAACATTGCATTTCTCAAAAACCTGGTTGGAAGCTGGAATCCGTCCAAAATTGTCCCACATCTTCCTGCAATTATCAATCTTCACCATTACAAGGAAATGAAAACAACCTGCCACTTTCCCAAGGTGTTTAAACTAAATCTCACAATTTCTTTCCTATGTAGAGATGAACACACGGAGCAGGGGCCTTATTGTTTTTCTGACCTTTTCCATTTCAGAGCTTGATGGGTTGCCTTTATCACACAAATTGGAGTGTTGCAGTGGGACTGTGAAGTCAAACAGCATTGTAGAAACGACACTCGTGTTGCATGGCTGGCAAAAACCCAACTACCAGGGATTTGGTTGTGCTTGCTTGGGTGAGAGAGAGTGAGAGAGAAAAACTTTTCTGCATGTAGTAAAATTGTTAGATCTTGTGTGACAAGGCTTTTTTAGTCACGTTGGTTGTGAACAACCTGAATGTGAGTTAACAGTTCACATTCATGTTAGAAGGTCACATTTGATAGTTTATTCACAAAATCAATGGAAACATCTCTTGGTTGCAAGGTTATACTGCTTTCATTTAACCAGTTCAGCCATTTGATCATTAAACTTCTGGACATAAAATGTTTTGTTATAATCCTTCAGTTTTCTTATTTATGACTTATTAGTTTTGCTAATGTAGTGCTTATTAATTGTAGGTGCAACAGTTTAACCACCTTCTTCTCAGATAATCTTCCAATGACACAAGTTATACACAGGTGTATTTAGTCTGTTTTACTATCTCCTCTCTCAACTCAAGGCATATCAGTACCAGCTCAGCTTCAACATTTCCATTTCTATTCTGCATATGACAAGATATGCAATGAAGGTGCCTCTCTTTTGGTCTAAAAAGGCAAATATGAAAGAGCCACTTACAGAGTGTCATGGGAAAAGACCTTGGATTTTCTATTGGTACGACATGCTCAGAATAGTTTGCTTGAAATGCGGCTTGCAGCAAACAAAAGCCACACACCTAAATGTGTTTCTCAGATCTGATGGAGCAGCAGCGCCACATCCAAATTTTTTTCCAACCTTTTGAATTAATGACTATATCACAAAGGGTAAGCTCAGAAAGTATTCACAAATAGCATACCTATGTTAATTGTATCTCTAATCTTATTCCTTCAGTTAAAAGACTCAAAAGCGCACACACACACACACTGAACCAACTCCAAAACCTACATACACACACATATACACACACACACACACACACGCTGCTGCTTTCTTCATGCCTGTTACTTGAATGACTGTATTTTAAATATTGCACATTACAATTGATCACTTTTTTATTTATTATATCACACAATTTTCTTATTATATGTCTAATTTATCTAACTTATCTAATGTATACTGTATGTCTGCATGGGAGAGCAAGAAACGAAATTTCAATTCTTTGTGTGACCAACGCACGTAAAGAAATTGACAATAAAGCCTACTTGACTTGACTTGACTTGACTAAAACCTATTGCATTGCTGTGGCATCTTAATTTTGAATGACGTAGCACCAATCTTCTTTAACATACATAGTCCTGTTTTCTGTTCCATACCCTTCCTTTTTATGAATGAAACCCCAAGATATTGAATGATGGGATACCCCAGAAAATGCAATACTCTTGTATGTGTTTTTCTAAGGATAGACGCTAATGTTGTCCTTGCAAGAATATATGACACAAGAAAATTTCCTGCTTTCAAAGATGGTAGAGAATCTCTCACGTTTAACTTTGGCTATATAATTACTTTAATGTAAAGGAATGTTTACACTTGCATGTCTGGTTCTTTCCATTTACATCAATGTATATTGCAGGCATCTTTATCCCAAGTGACCTCCAAGAAGATATACATACACTCTCCTCTGATTTGCCCAAGGACATGTAGCATAGTCTACATTCAAACCGTCAACCTTTCCACTGGCAGATGATTGTTTTTCCTTCGAGCAACCACAATATAAATTTATACCAACTTTGGTATTCCCAATGACATTTTCATACCTAAAATTAAATTATGCCTAAGTAAAAAAAGACGTGTGACAGTAATTTAATTGCTCATTTAGTGTGTGTGTATATAATGATATAATATGATATATGATATCCAATGCCATATGTATGTGGGGATAAATATTCTCCTTGAAACACCTATTCAGAATATTAAAGTTGAATAAACATCCTGAAAATACCAATAAAGGAAGGGATTTTCTTCATGTTTTCCCGACACCTTGACTTACTTGCTAATGTTTACCTGGATCTGTTTACTAGCTGTTTTGTCAGAATCGGATAATAACAAAGAGGAGGGAGTGAGAACTATACATGCTTTTGTGCAAATTCCAGAACACATGCTCTGACATTAATCTGCTGATAATTAGCATTTCTGCCATATGGATAGTTTTACAGTAACCTGTTTAGTCTTAATGAGGTGTTCCCTACAATCTGCTCAATTCCACAAAATACTAAAGTTTCAATAGGCAGTGTTTCCCCCCCCCCCCCCGCCAAAAAAACAAAAACAAAACAATGTTACCATGTCCTGTTCAGCATTAAGGTAGGATAACTGAAATCTGAGTACTGTGCTGTGCTCAACAAATTTGCTTTGCCAAAGGAGGCTTCGATATTTGTTATTTGGATTTTTTATAGTTGTGTCTCCCAAAATTTAATGAAGTTGGTATGGAAGTTTTGAGCTTGTGTTTTAGGAATAAGGAAAGTAAAAACTTTCATTGGGAGCACTAAAGTTAAAATACTTTCATTCCTACCTTTTGTGTTTATTTATTGAAATGGTGTTGCAGAGTGACACTAATTGTAGATCAAATTAATATTCAAGTGAAGTCTCTGTCACAAATAAAGTGAATGCAAAAAGATTATGCACTAGTCTATTCAGTGCTGTGATGCACACTGATTTGATTAGGGTTTCGGAGCATCACTTCATACATATTCATGATACTAATCATTAAAGTTTAAGTTTAAAAGTTGATTAGCAGCTTACCAACAATAAAGATCTTGGTGACTGTAAGTGCAAAGAAAAAATAAAATATTCTTTAAAAATGAAGCTTAATTCATTATAATATGTGAACCAATTATTTGAACTCACGCACCTCAGTTATGGGATCCAGGTTTTTCCTGTTTAATGTTATGGCAAAAGTATGGCCCAGTCTAACACCAAGATGTAGGCCAAACCATCTTATGAAACATGAACATAAATGGCACTTTATTGGTGGGATAGAGATTAAGTTGGTATGTGGGTTGAAGTGGTACCCACTAAATGTAGTTCCCTATAGGGTAGGCTTACCTTTACACACAGTATGGGCAATGGGACCAAATTCTTGGAGAAGTAAAGTCAAGTAAAGTCAGCTTTAATGTCAATTACGCCATACATACACAGACATACTGAGTAACTGAAATTACATGACTCTCGGCCATTATCTGTAGTAAATAACTGAATGATAAAGTCTTGACATAAGATAAAATAGTTTTTTAAAAGAAAATTACATAAATAAATCTAATCAAAGGAATACATAAAAATAAGTGTATACAGTGCTGAATGAAAAATAAAATATACTGTATATGTAAACAATAACCAGTAAATACGCTGCTTTCGCAATACGCTGAAGGGACCTGCGGCAGAAAGCGGTGCAGGTTCCGCACCACACCAATCGTCCCCCTGTAGATTGTAGATGGGGGGAGGGAATCCAGCTTTTCTCAGTCTGCAAAGGAAGTGAAGTCGTTGGTGACCCTTTTAGCCAGAGATGAGGTGTTGGTTGTCCAGGAGAGATCCTCTGAGAAGTGCGCACCCAGGAACTTTGTGCTGCTTACCCTCTAAACACCAGCACTGTTGATAGTCAGAGGGGGGTGTTGGGTACGTGCTCTCTTGAAGTACACAACAATATCTTTGTCTTTTTCACGTTCAAACAGAGATTGTTGTGCACAAACAATGAGGTCAGATGGTTCACCTCACTCCTATAGTTTGCAGATGAGACCCACCACAGCTGTGCCATCGGCAAACTTGGTGAGGAAGTTGGTGTTGGTGCAGTGGTGTGCAATTCTGGGTCAGCTGGGTGAAGAGAAGGGGGCCCAGCACACATCCTTGGGGGCCCCCGTGTTCAGGATGATGTGGTAGTAGTAATTGAAGCCAGAGGGTGAGGTCTTCTTTGGTACCCTGATGATGGTGGGGGCTTTGAGGCATGTAGGAATAAACACCTGGCTTAGTGGCTGTCTGTAAGTATGTGAGTTACCCGTGAGTTCTCCTTCACAGTCCTTTGGTACGTGGCCAGATATGTTGTCAGGACCAGAAAATGAGTAGGCGTTGATCATGCAAGGTGTATTTTTTTGTAAAAAAAACACCTTGCTGATTGTGCTGTCCATAGACAGTACTGTCTATGGATTCTACTGTCCATAGACAGCACAATCAGCTGGTCACCCGGAGGAGGGGGAGGCTTTTGTGCTGGAGTAGTGTTCTGGGTCTAAGAGAGAGCAAAGAATCCGTTCAGCTCATTTAGCAGAGTGAGGTGGAGCTGTCACAGGTCTGTGGTGGTTGTAGTCCGTGATTGACTGTAGCCCTTCCCACAGGCTGCATGAGTCTCTGTTGTTGCTGATCTGGTGGGCTTTCCTCCTGGATTACTGTCTCTTAGTCTCTCTGATGCCAGGTGACAGGTAGGCCCTCTCTGTCCTCGGGCTGACCTAGTCTCCTGCTGACTCGGTCTCCTGCTTGAAGGCGGGGGCCCTACTTGAAAGCAGTATTTCAAGCCCTCAGAGGCCTGTAGACTTCCCCTGTCAGCCATGGCTTCTGATTAGTCTTGACAGAGATGGTCTTGAGGATTGTTACATAATCAATGCATTTGGTGATGTATGTAGTGACAGTCAGTGTGTACTTCTGGGGGTCGTTTGAGGAGGTGTAGGAGGCAGAACTACTTTTGCATACCTTGGAGTTATTAACATGCCCCATTCATGCCCCAAATCGTATTGTATGAATATCCAATATTTTCATGATGGTGTGAATAGCACAGATCAAATTTTTTCCAATGCGACCCAGGCCACTTGGATATGTGATCCTAAATCCAATACGTAACTAATCTTTTCTAATGCGGTCTGCTACTGTACAGCCAGGTCGAATTCATCTGAACTGCATGTCATTGACACTCAGCAAACAACATTATTCTCCGTCCTGGTATTAGTTAAACTTATAAACCACATTAAGACCAAACATGGTTCTCATCAATGACAATCCATAACTTGCACAGAAGTCTAACAACAGAACACCACTATGGTTCAGATCAGGGAGTCCGTTTCTCCCAATCACACCTCTAAGATTTACTCCATCATCACCACCATGAGCACTGAAGTCCCCCTGTAGAAAAATGGAATCACCCCTTCCAGGACATCACCCAGAGACTCCAAGAAGGCTGGGAAATCTGAACTGCTGTGTGGACCATAAACATAAACAACAGTACAGCTGAAGTGAAGTGACTGCCTTGCCCACCGGTGATAAGTCAAATGTAGATGCACTCAGCCAGGGGCTTGTAAGTATCGCCAAACCCTCATGGTGCTTCTCTACATGGGGAACTAATTTAGCCCCTCTCCATGAGTTTGGTTCCAGAGCCCAAGCTGTGTGTGGAGATGAACCCAACTACATATATTGCTCCACCTCACACACCAACTCAGGCTCTAAGAATCTCAACGCCCAGGCCTTTGCCATTTTTGGACATCTGATCAGGGGTGTTGGTTTCCTCATTTAAAAAAATGCTGTGAGTAATGTCACAGTATTTCCCTCAAATGGAAAGTTTACTCCATCGGGCACAAGAGGATGGTTTTGACCCACTGATGAACTCCAGGAGGACAAACGTGGTTTTTAAATGGGCCAGGAATCTGTGGACCAGGTCTTTATCAAATACTCAAAAAAATGTTATGCTCATTCATTCTTATAAAGATTTTGATATTTTTGTAAAGGAATATAGCATATCACTATTGTTTAAATGGAACAATGTTTAATGAAAATAAAGACTCTCAGTATGAGCATTGTTGCCATTGTTGCTTTTTAAAATTTACATAGACAAATTCCCACAGATCAACAAATATCTGTTAGATTTTAGTATGACCCTAGACTCTAGTATGAGTCTAGTATTAGTTGAAGTGACAGATAGATGGATTGAGGGATGAATGAATGCTTTACATATGCTTCCACTCCTGATTTTGAAAGACCTTTTATTTAAATTTATAATCATTTAACAACACACTGATTATGGTCAATGTTCTTTAGTATTTAAAGAATCTCTAAGATTTTTTGCTTTCACCTCCCTAACTAAAACAATGTGACACAATTCTTGATAAATTAATTATAATAACAAAGAAGCCCTATCAAACCTCACCAAAATGATCATACAATGATGAAGCCTTTATGTGTATGGGCTGTCAGTTGTCAATCAGAGTGTAAATATACAATATAGATGATGTGCATATAAAAACTCATAGAGTTTGTTAATATAAGTGACTGATTTTAGAATATTTAAACAATGTGCTACACTAAAAATCCACTCAGCTTCTCGGTAAAAGAACAGGGAAAGACCAAACTTTAAGGTGGTACTGATAAGGTAGGAGGACAGCAGATGTCTTGATTGAAGAGTCAGTGCCACACAGCTTCACTAAAGGCAATTTGGGAAGACAAACACATTTTCAGTGGGTATTGGCTTTCAGCCAATCAGTTGCTGTGCATAGTAATATGTCCAGAGGGTTTTGAATTCGAAGTGATGTGGGAGGTCACCAATAAGAAGTGCTGCTGGTATTCTTTCCTGAAAATACGTGATGAATAAAATAATGTCACCTCCAGGTGTTACATTGCTATGTGTCTTAAATTTTAAATGAAGGAGTTGATGCTTTAGACATGTAGTGAAATGGATGAATAAATTCAGCATTCAACCTGTATCGTGTGGGCACAATATTCATTCCAATTATACCCAAATTTAAAATTTAAAGTGGTAGGCTTGAATAAAAAGAAAAACAAACTCTAAAGGGATTGTACAGGAGGCAGTATTATTGCAGCCTTACTTGCAAATATGAACAGATACTTTGTAAATGTCATAGCAACTGTAAAACAATACAGCCCTCACTGTTATAACTGTCAGCAGCTGGCTCCCTTAAGGATGACAGGCAGGTGACGGCATAAACAGCGAGGCAACAGGACTGGAAAGTTCGTTAGCCTGGAAAAAAAGCTTTTTTTTCTAACAACGTATTCACCATGACTTCTTATATTTTTAATATTATGCTTTTGTATGGCCGAACATATTTTCATATTAGGAATTTTGATGAATGAATTCCTCCTTTACAGTTACATTCAGACTTGTTTTAACTATCACAATTGTAATCAAGTGTACCCATTCAGCTTTACCTGTTCTTCCACGTATCATCTGTCACAGCGGTGTTACCAAGCTGGGCTTTCTTGTCCTGTCTCCATGTGGTCTCATAATTTCCTGTTTTATTTTGATAAATAACCCTCATCTCAGGTCAGTTGCACTTCCCTGTGTGTCATCTGTCCAATTGTCTTCCCGATCACCTACTGTGTTCACCAGGAGTTCCCTTTCCCTCATGTGTTAAATAGTCAACGTTTCCCCTTGTCTTGTGCCAGTGTTCTTTGTCCCACGTCCTACTGAGCAACCTAAGCCATAATCAATCCTTGCCTTGTGCCTTGAATCCCGTTTTTCTTCGAAAGAGTGATTTAGATTTTGGTCCTCCTAGTTTTTTTCTGACTCCCTGTGAGTATTATTTTGTTACTTTGTTTATGAGCCTTTACTACCCTGGTATTTTGAGTGATCTTGATTTGTTACTTCTCTAAACCATCCTCGTTGAGTGATCTTTAATTTGCTACTTTTTTAGGATCCAACCTATAACTGGCTGTAGCACCAGCCCTTAACTAATGGTGATTTTAGTACCTACTCAGCGTGGAACAGCATGCCTCCACGCAATATTTTTGCATTACTGCGAGGGGCTGGACCCACTAAACAGTTACAACTTTGGCAACTACTCAGTTGGGGTTCCATCAGTACTGGGTAAGACCGACCGCCCGGTGCTGATTGGCCTGAGAGTCACATGATTGGATTAAAAATATGGAAACAACAAATGTCATTATTATCATTTCTGTGATCATAAACGTTGTAAATGCTTCATACAAAAAGCAACACCATATCACAACTGAGAGGTTTTAGTTTTGTTGTCTCAAGCTTGAGTCTAAATTACGTCATGTGCCGGTCTGCCCATCTTTCTGTTTGGCCATAATTTGTGATGGAAACCGTTCTGTGTTGGGCTGTATAGGTAGTAATGGAAAAGTGTAATTCCAATATAAGTGATATGGTTGAAAGGGGGCAAATGACCCAAATTTCAGTACAAGTTTATGAATGGTCTTGAATGTTCAAAATAAACTGGAAGATATCTGGAATGAGACAACTCACATACAATATCAATAATCAGAGATGGGAAAGGCTGATGAAGTCAATTTTTTTCACTGAATATCTAAATATAGTCTGAGCTCATGACATTCCTATTAAACTTAATTGACTGATATTTCAGAGCCTTACTCCAAGATTGGGCTTTTCTATCCACATCTGCATTCTTTATGCAATTGTGTTACAAGAATAATTCAAGGTTATCACTATTTTCATGTTCACAATGCAAATTTAGTTTCAACATTACAAAATATATTTCTAAAAACCAAACATATATAGATGATTCAATTTCAATATGTGACGTTAAAAAGAAGCTTTTAGAAACAAATTGTTGTATAGCTACCTCCAGCTGGGATAGGCTTCATCAACACCATAACTTTAAATTAGATGAAAGTGGTTTGGAAAATGAATGGATTAAATATTGTATGTTTAAACCACTTTAGGGTTGCTTTATCATTACATTCACTGGTCAGCCTGTGATGGACTGGTGACCTGTCCAGGTTGAACTCTACCTTTCGGATAGGATGGGATAGGCTTCCGCCCCCTTGCAACCCTACTAGGAATAAGCAGTATGAATAATGGATGGATAGATGTTTTTCATGACTTTTGTTTTATAGCATGGAACACACGAGGGGAAACCAAGAGGTCGGAATAGTGTGCAGAATTTACATATTTCTGCCACTGAGGACCTGATTTTATCTTTTCTAAAGAATAATTACAAAGAAATGAACTCACAATAGCACATATCCATGTAAGTTTTGGTCATGACCATGATATACACCTTCAATATTTCTGAATATCCTCTAAAGACTGTTTCCATCACAGCTACAGTCATGTAAAGTATTTTGCAATTAAGAATAGATTTATTTTTACAAAAATACAGTTTTGGCTTAAGAAGTATGACTAATATGGTAAGCATAGTCAGCCTAATTT